GACGTGCTGTTCAGGATCTGGAGCAGGTTCCTCAGACACCTCTGTCACAGACTGCAGCTCCACTCCCAGAACTGAACCAGCTATCTTCATGAGTTCAAGTCTGTTGGCATCAGCTTTCTTCACCTGCTGCCCCAGCACACCACAGAACACCAGATCTCTCCAGTTTGAGCTTCTCTCCATTGGCTCCCTGCCAAGTCCAGAATAGAATTCAAAATCTTACTTCTAACCTACAAAGCTCTCAACAACCTAGCTCCATCTTGTATTACAAATCTTATTGTTCCATATTTTCCCAACAGAACACTTCGTTCTCAGACTGCAGGTTTACTTGTGGTTCCTAGAGTTTCCAAAAGCAGAATGGGAGGAAGCTCTTCCAGTTCTCAGGCTCCTCTCTTGTGGAACCAACTTCCAGTTTCTGTCCGTGAGGCTGACACATTGTCCAGTTTAAGACTTTCCTTTTTGATAAATCCTATAGTTAGTCGTCTTGGTTTCCTGAGCTGTTCCTTATCCTATGCTGCTATAACCTTAGACTACTGGAGGACAAATTGACCTCATTTCATCAAATGAATAGTTTGTATTTATTATTCTTTCTTGTGCCCTGAGACGACTTCTGTTGTGATTTGGTGCTAATAAATAAACTGAACTGAATTAAATTAAATTGGAAAAAACAAAACACACCTTTCTTCTTATACATGGTGTAGTTCCAAAAACATGAAGCTTTACATTCATTCCAATCCCAACAATCTCGAATGTATCATACGTAAAGTTTGGATAGTTTTCTGAATATATGTTACGCATTTGAAAACTGATGCACAGGTGTTCCTCATTTCCTGTCTTGTAGGCAGCGGAGAGACCCCCACCCTTGAAACCATCGACTCTTATATGAAGAAGCTGCACAGCATCATCGTCAGTAACCCCCAGGACCACGAGCATCTCATCAGCACTGTGAGGGACGTGGTCAACCGCTTGGACAGGTAACACCTTCCTCTGTGGATATTTAACTACTGTGTTTTTCAGCCTATAAGTCACTTTTTTAATAATAATTTGCATGCCCTGCGACTTATATGGCGAAGCGACGTATTTTTGGATTTTTTCTCATATTTATAAACCAGTTCTTGGCTGAGATTTGACCGTTTTCATTCATTCCGACTGAAAATACTGAACACTACCATTTTCAGCCACTAAATGGCACTCAAGGTGTATGGCATGCCGTTGTGTCATGTAATAGGTAAAAAGTGGCTATTAATGACACAATCAGCTTGACATAGGCTGCCGCCTTCGTTCTGCTCGTCAGGAGCAACTGTCCAATCAGCTTCATTTTGCTGCGCCGTCCCGGTGAAATGCAGCTGATTTTACCGTCGAAGTGCATTTATTAAGGAAAAGTTCAACTGAGACACAACTTTGCTATAATGTTGAGCAAACAAATAATTGTTTTTAAGTGTTAATCTTGTTGAAGTCCTTCCATGCACGCTCCCGTAGCTACCATTTGGCAGCCAATCGATTTTTGGCTCAACACCAGCCCACATTTCCAGATTGTCAGTGGTGACGCATAATAGATGCGACATATACAGTGAAGCGACGTATTTATGGATTTCTCCACTTAGACATTCACTGCCTGACCAAAAAAAAGTCTCCACATGGATTTAACTAAGCAAATCGATAGGAGCCTCCTTTTGGATCATCACTGCATGGGCGATTATCTGCAACAAGTTATTTAACCCCAACTGGTGCAATGAGTCGCTTCTCATTTCTTCAACAACATGATGAAAGACTCGTGGCGTGGTCGTGGAAAAGATGCCAGCCTGTTTGAGAAGGGTCACATCATTGGCGTGCATTTGTGAAAGAGTGGTTCTGGGAGCATGAGACACCATTGTCCCACATGGATTGGCCACCACAGAGTCCAGACCTTAAACCCGTTGAGAATCTTTGGGATGTGTTGGAGAAGGCCTTGCGCAATGGTCATGCCATACCATTTTATTTATAGACCAAGGCCAACCAAAGTGCTGTACAAACAGAAAAACAGGCAACACACAAAGCAACATACAAAATGAGGT